GGTGCGGTGGTGCGGTGGTGCGTGGTGCGGTGGTGCGTGGTGCGGTGGTGCGGTGGTGCGGTGGTGCGGTGGTGCGGTGGTGCGGTGGTGCGGTGGTGCGGTGGTGCGGTGGTGCGGTGGTGCGGTGGTGCGGTGGTGCGTTTCAGTCAATGCAAGAAGGGCTTGCGGGAGAGAAATACACTGCTCACCTTGGCGATCTCCTGGACCAGCGGGTGCTGTGGTGCGAGCACCACGTAGGTCACGCCCAAGAGCGTGTCCAGACGCGTCGTGAAAATTCTCAGCGGCTCCTCCGCCTTCGCACCCTGTCGAGCTCTCGGCGTCAGCAGACCCCAACAACAACCAACGACCAACAAACAAACAGATCGATCGTGGGCGGCGCGCACCGAGGAGGCGGAGAGTTCGCGTTTGATGGGAAATTCGAGGTAGGCGCCCTTGGATTTGCCGATCCAGTGCTGCTGCATGAGCTTCACCTGCTCCGGCCAGCCCTTCAAGCCGGCGAGATCCTCCACCAGAGCCTGTGCGGGATCGGCACCAAATGGTTCATCATTGTGGAATGGCAACACACCCCACGCACGCACGCACGCACCACACACAACACACCACTAGCGGAGGAATGCACGCACGTCCGCGAATTCGGTGATCTTGAAGAACCACTGCTTCATCAGCTTCTGCTCCACCTTGGCCCCAGAGCGCCACGACTTGCCATCCGCGTCTACCTTTTGGTTTTATTTTTGCAATTAAACAAGTAAGAAATAATCAATTAATTGTAGTAATTAGGAAGAAGTAAATAATAAGCAACAAATAAATGATGGTAAAGCGCATTAGTGATGTGCCTCAGGTACCTGCTCGTTGGCCAACACGGTCTTGTCGATGGGGTCCCAGTTGACGGCGGCCTCCTTCTGGTAGGCGAGGCCGGCCTTGTGGAGCTGCAGGAAGATCCACTGCGTCCATTTGTAGTACTCGGGCTCGCACGTTGTCACCTCCTGCGCTCGGCCGGAGTCGACGGCACACGGTCTCAGTTGAGTCGCTTGTTGCGTTGCGTTGCGTTGCGCGGGAAGCGCACCTTGTCCCAGTCGAATTGGATACCGAGCCGCAGCATTTGGCTCTTCATCGTCGCGATATTCGAGTGCGTCCACGTGTGCGGCGCGATTCCCCGCTCTGGCGGTGACCATACTCTAATTTAGCTACTCTTCTAGGAAAAAATAAACAACACACGACGCACGACACACACGACGCATGGGCGAATTCGAATTACCAATGGCTGCATTCTCAGCGGGCAGGCCGAACGCGTCCCATCCCATCGGGTGCAGCACTTCCTTACCTGTGTCAACGCACACGCACACGCACACGCACACGCACACACACACGCACACGCACACGCAGAGATAAGACACGTTAGCAGCGATGGCAGCCAGGACCGGGAGTGCGCCAGAATCGGATCACAGCAGGCCATATTGTGCCCCACGCCCGGGTACCCTTCATCTGGTGGTAGCGCGACAGACAGTCGGAGATGGTGTAGACGCGCACGTGGCCCATGTGGAGTTGCCCCGACGGGTAGGGGAACATCGACAGCACGTACTGCTTGTCCTGTTGGCACGCATTCAGCCCGCATGGTGTCAGGCACTGCTCTCGAGACTCATCCGGGGGTAGCACGCGTGTGAGGAGTACCTTGGCTGCGGCAGCAGTGGCCTGCTCGTCCGCGCCCAGCTTCTGCCGCTGCTGCTTTTGGTGCTGCAGCTCGGTCCACACCTTGCGCCACTTGTCCTCGACGGCCTTATGCTGGTACGTCGCCGCCTGCAAATAAAGCTCATTAAATTGTTTATTATTAAATAAAAATGAACATTATTGTGAAAAAATAAGAAATAGACGTGCCCACGAGCCGGCTTCCTTGGGCGCCTCAGCCGTGTAGGCTCGCTGGAAGAAGCGGAATCGGAAAAAAATCGGGCGTCTTTGCATTGTGCGATCGGAGAAATCGCGAGCTGGCGCCGCAGGCGTTAGCCGCCACACCACCTGAAACGGTGGTGGGGAGGCGCGTGCGTAGGCCAGCGTTAGCGACCGCCCCTGACGGAGACCTGCTCAGCGCCCGGAGCATCTTTGTTTCTTTTGCGCGAAATAAAAATTGAATTCTAGGCCATTTTCCTTTTCTTTGAAGGAAATCCAATAATTTATTTATTATTTTTTGTTGACATTAGCTGAGGCGCAGCTGGCTCGATTGCTTCTGGATCGAGATGAGGGTGTTCGAATTCGTGAAGACCGAGTTTCTGCGCGGCTTCACTCCTGAAGAGGAACCACCTGGGGCCGAGGCGGAAGAAGACGCGAGCGACGATGAATTGGCATCTACCGAAAATGCATCACCAGCTGATGCCTCTCACATCGAGGTTCGTGGCCTACACCTCCCCTCATGTTCGGGCCATCGAACAACTTGCTATGTGCAAATCTCCATGGCGAAATTTCGCACATTGCATTACATGAGTAAAACTACATTTACGTCTTCCATTCACAACAGAACCAGCTGCGTGAGTATCGAGAGGTGTGGACGAGTGGCGCACTGCCCATTTCGCAGATCCTCGTGGTGGCTAGACAGCGAAGGGGCTTCGCCGACTACGTGGACGAGTTCACCAGCGTACGCATGCGTGCATGCACTCCACGCCATCGCGCTACACGACATGCTGACGTGGCACTTGCAGGAGGTCAAGCGTACGCTCTTCGTGACGGGCCTTCATCGCGACGTCGGCTGGCACCAGATCTCCCAGTTCTTCGCTCGTGAAGTGCGCGCGGTCAAATTGTACGTGCTGCTCTGCGTCGTCGGCGTAGCATGGCGCACTGCTTGCTGATCTTCTCTTGTACTCGCCGGCTTCTATCGGTCGCCTGTGGTGTCGCACAGCTACGCCGAGGAGGCCAAAGACGGGGAGACAGAAGCATCGACACTCTGCGCCTTGGTGGAATTCCACAGCAGCGACCTGCCGATCCAGCGATTCAGAACCAAGCTCGAAGAGGACTTCGGATCGGACATCACCGTCAAACAAGCAAAGGTGCGCTTCGCAACTCGCGCTCATTGGGCTGTGTGCGTGGGTTGCCTTTCGTCGTTCACGCACTCACTCGCACGCCGTACCTTGTACTGCTTTTGTTGGTTCAGGTTTGTATCCGACAAGCGCTCGGTATCGAGACCGAAGTGATGACCAGAAGGGCGCGTCTGGCCGAGCAGAGATTGGCCGAAATCGAGGAACAGCTGCGCCAGTCCATCCTTGACAGGTACACCACAGTAATCAACCGAGAGTTGATGCTGCTCATTGCTAAGAGCTTCATTTTCTCACTCACATGCATTCATCAACTCTCAGATTCCAGCTGTCGTCGAGCCTGCAAGAGATCACGGCCACCAAGACGAACCTGGAGCTGAAGACGGACAAGCTGACCGAGGAGAACAGCCGCTGCAAGGAGAAGCTGATGCAGCGGAAGTGGGAGTCGGAGATGCTCAGCAGGGCGTTCAACTCCACCAAGGCAAAACTGTCCGCCTGCACCGAGGCCTTTTCGCCTTCCACTTCGCCCTACTCGTCATCTTCGTCGTCGTCTTCGTCATCTTCGTCGTCGTCCATGATGATGATACCGCATGGTGCCAGACCATCCTACCACCACCGCCCGACGGCGCGTGAGATTCTCGCCGACATGGAGGCCCTCGAGGCCGAGATCAACGAAGAGAAGATGCAGAAGAAAGCCTTCAAAGAGGCGCAACGGTATGGTCCCACCCCCCTCTCCTCTTGAGCTGTGCGTGCGTGTGCGCTGATGCACTGTTTTCACACCACGCTAGGTTTGCGCTGGAGCGAGAGAGCAAGAGCTTCGCACTGGCGCTGATGGCCGCTCAGCACTGGCGCGAATGGGCCATGTACGTTCACATGTGGAGCTTGGCGAGTGCGATGGGTTGCCAAGAGCGGAGCGTACTAACCCTGGTGCCGGCTGTCACCCACAGGGCCAAAGCGAAGCGAAGGCAGGAGGAAGAACTGACACGCCAATTTTTAGAAACGGAAATGAAACTCAAGCAGCAGGCGATCGATGAGAAGGAGTACTCTTGCGTACGTGGCAGCTTCTCATGTTTACTTGCTCAACTCTCCCCCGCCCAGTATATTTGCTCACACACACACACACACAGCCCATCTGCTGCACCGACTACCCGATCGAAGAAATGTATACTCTGGACAAATGCTACCATCGCTTTTGCTTCGAGGTTCGTGGCCCACACACACACACACACACACACGACACACCACGACGCAACGCGGCCGTACAGCAGTCTAACGCTCAAGCCTGCTTTTGTGTACAGTGTCTGGGCCGATTTGTGTTGGTCAAGGTGCAGGAGGGCCAGACCCAGAATATGAAGTGTCCCGACCCCGACTGTAAAGAATTCATGACCCCCGCCGAGGTACCGTACCATGAGGTGTTGCACCACTCGTGGAGTGGTGGCGTTGTTTACTCATCTCGGGAGCGCGGAAAAAGGTGCGACATGTTGTAGATGAAGAGACCTACAGCAAGTACGAGGAGTTCACGCTCGCGTCGGCGCTGAATGCCATGCCCGACATCAGATGGTGCCCCAAGCCCGACTGTAAAAACGCGATGGTACGTACCTCCCTACCCATTACCCGTGTGTGGCCAGTTGCGCGCCAATCTGGTTCATCTAATGAATCTCGTCTGCACAACTGCGTGTACAGATCGGCGGTGAGGAAAACCTCATGATGGTGTGTTCCAATTCGGAGTGCCGCTTCAGCTTCTGTTACAAGTGCAAGGAGGAGTGGCACGCCGGTACGTCTGCTTGACTTGAAGCGGTGTGTGGCGCGGCGTGGCGTGGCGCTTCGTTTTGGCCTCACTGTGCTGCATGCCCTCTGTTACAGATGCCACGTGCGAGCAGTACCAGCAGTGGCGAAGGGAGAACTCGGAGGCCGACGCCAAGTGCGTGCTGCCCCCCGTCCCTGGTTGAACGATCGATTTGCTCACACAACTAACGCATTCACGCGCTGTGGTCATGCTCGCCTCACAAAGGTACGATGAGTGGGTCAAGGCCAACGCCAAGATGTGTCCCAACTGCCAGGCGCCAATCGAGAAGAACGGTAACACACCAAACCCCTCAAGATCTTGCAACCTTGTCTGCTGTGCTAAATGACCATATTGTTCAGGTGGTTGTAACCACATGACATGCAAAAACTGTAAATACGAGTTCTGTTGGCTCTGCAACGCCCAGTACAACGTACGCCACTCCTCTTCTCGCTGCGTGCGCTCAAACAACGCTGTGCCTCACCACGCACGCACCCGCACACGCGCACACCACACGCACACGCGCACACACCACACGCACCTCACAGAAAAACCATTTCGGCAAGATGCCCTGGAACTGTCGCCAGTTCAGTTGAACATCAACCCAAGCCATCAGCGAAGAACAGAAGCAATCCATCCCGCGCGTCCCCTTGTACACTCTTTCTGCGCGTTTGTTGAAGAAGAAGATCACGTTGGCTGTTCATGTTGGTGGTGCGCGTCGACGATAATGCGGGTATGATGATGCCGCGGGAGCGGGCAATTTCCCGGCCGCAACAAATTGACCACGGCGGCGAGCCGGCACGTTTTGCCGGCTTTTGTTGTTCGTCTCGCCCCACGCAGCAAGCAGTAGCCGAAATCGAAGACACACATCTACACAATGAGCGGATTCCAGAAGATCAAGGTGGAGAACCCCGTCGTGGAGATGGACGGTGATGAGATGACCAGGTACAGGCGCGAGCCCATTTTTTTCCGTTGATTCAGAACAATGTTCCGGTTTCTTCGATTGCGCTGTGTCTTTTCATGCTCTACGTGCTCGCCGCACACACCTGCATCTGATGGTCGGTCACAGTGCTAACCAAGTTTGTGTGTAGGATCATCTGGCAGATGATCAAGGACAAGCTTATCCTGCCCTACCTGGACCTCAACATCCAGTACTTCGATCTCGGCCTGCCCTACCGTGATGAGACCAACGATCAGGTACCCACCTGCCACTGTCCTCGCCTTG